TCAGCCTTCCTGCTCCTCTGATGCTGCTTGGCCTGCTGTGTTCATCCAGCTCTACACCTTGTTATCTCAAATAAACAATCCCTTATACAAAGGTAAGTTATTTAGTTGTTAAGTAAACGTTATGTTCATGTCAAATATTCATTTTTGATTAATTGGGAGTAGACAGACATTGGCTTTTTAAATAGAGTTACGACCAGGCTAGCGTCTCCCTAACTATGTTATGGAGATAGCCATGACTCCAACTTTTATTTAATTTTAAAGACAAGTGGTAGGCGCTATGTTCCAGATATGATTTGAATGGTCCACCACTAAGCTTTAATCAGGTATACGTTATTTTTACAATGCAATTAAAATGCAACAAAACAAAGAATCAATATAACTTTACACTGCAGATATATTTAACAAGACAGTGCATTACCATATATATTCAAGTAAAAATCAAACTATATATATTCAAGTAAAAATGAAAGTTTTTAGACTATTTTTAAGGTTAAATTTATGTGGTCGACTATTACATGGATACTACATTTGAGGGGCTGAAATTCATGCTATAGCCCAAAATACTGTATCATTGGCAGAAGCCCAATTGATCTCAAAATGAATAAAGAAAAAAAAAAAGAATTATGGTAATTACCGGATAAAGACAGTAGGAACAAAAATGAATTAGTAAGCTTTTATTTATACATACTGAAGAACTAAAGTAAACCTACTTTTCTCATGGCCAATAGTTTTCACCAATACTGTTTTTTCTCCTTTTTGGTTCACAGTTCGATTCTCTGGCATGTCAAGAGTGATAAGCATTTCGTCCATGTTTCTAATGCATGATAACTTGTAGCCTTCCTTCTCTGGTGAATCTGTAATATCTTACCTTCGAGTTCAGCAGGCAGCTTTTGTGCAATCTTAGTTCTCTACTGAAGTACTAAGTCATGGCTTCTCATGAACCTCGTGCACCATCCAGCACTTGCCTTAAAATCTGACATTCCATCCTTCTTTGATTTGTTTCGTGCATGGATTCGGCTGGCTTTGTGATTAACACATTTCCATTTTGATCATTTTCAAGAACCCACTCAGAAACTTTTTTCTCCAATTGTGGCCACTTGCTAGGTATGCCTCAGTTGGCACACTTTTGTTTTGGTTTTATCTGAAGTTGGTTTAATATCTTTCTCCAGTCCCTCACAAATTTCTCCGAAACAAAAAATTCTCTTGCTGCTACAGTGTTATTTGTCTTCTCTGCAACTTCAATAACTTTCAGTTTAAATGCTGCTGTATTTTTGTTTTTTGCTTTTCTGGAGGGCACTTTTACACAAAATGATGAAGAAATTTGAAAATCTCAACTAGGTGTATGACTGTATTTCTTGAGTGCCTGACTCTGACATGATTCATTTTAAACTTTTGCGCCAAATTCTTCCATTTCCCTCCATTTTCTCTTGTCAATTGTTGTTTTAATTTTTCAAAGTAACACAACTTTTTTTTAAAATCAGAAATAAAAGCTTAATCAGACATTTGACTCTCATACAGTCTCACCGATCATTTCCTCATCTTAACATTTATGTACAGGATAATACCTTGACTCACAAATGTTGATCTGTTATCTGTGAAGAACTACAGTCGACATTTACACAAAATATATGGAAAATTCCTGATTTTTTGGCCAAAATTAGAGGGTCGACATTTACATGAGATTGACTTTTATTTGGGTATATATGGTATTTAACTGCTAATCATCAGCTGTTTTAATATAGGCAGCAACCCATAAACACAGCCTTTGGCAAAATGCAATGCAGCAAAACAGCTATTATTCTCACATGCTGTCTCTCTCCAGTCCAGTAGAAACAATCTGCCCTTTTTGATTTCAAACAAGAAAACTCTCTTAACTCTTCAATCTAACAGCAAAGAGAACTCTAGCTGTCTGCTCCAGCAGCTAACTAACAAACCAACCCATCGAAAGCAAAGCCAAAGTCCTCAGAATTTGTGTGAGCCTGATCCCGCCCACTCAATGATTCTTTTGTCTTACTCAAAAAAACACCCAGAAAGAAACCCAAAGCTATTTACAAATTGCCTGCTGGGAGGAGACACCTCAGTACCACCACGACAAAATCCTTCTGCAAGAGAAACTGGACAGAACACATCTCTTAAAGGCACAGTATTGTCACAATATATACTTCTTAAATGAGACAAGGACACTGAAACTGATAAATGGCTAACAATTTTCATTACTGTGTAGATCACATTCCATACTTTTGGGATGGGAGAGAAAATAAATACCTGGATAGGTTTAAACAGCATTCTTCCTATCTCATCAAAATGGAAAGTCACAATATATGTTCACAGAAAAATTGTCTATCCCGAATTTAAATACTTAGGTAAAATATCTTGATCTTAAGATGACTACGTAGATTTGAGCAAATTATAGCTACCTTTTGGAATATACAATGGAAATTTGAACTTCTGATGGCAATTAGAGATAAATCAGGTCATCAACCTCAAGCTTTGACTGTATATTTGGACTTGGGTTTGCAGAATGTACCAGCAGCAGTGAGGAAAGGTTTCTCTCTACTTATGTCCATCTAGGATGGTACACTGCATATAGAGTTTGATTTCACCTACAGAGGGTTCTCCTGTTTTGTGTGTTCCAGCAACACAAATTGGCTGTAATGTGATTGATGAATAGCAGAATGGTATTTGTAATGTGGGAACTTTGTATTGGCTATAACGCAATTCCATTGTCGACATCACACGATTGGTTCACAGGCTTTGTCCTGAGCGTGTGCTGAAAGAGTCCCCACGCTGGCATCAAGGACCTTCGTGCTTTCTGTGAGAGGTACTGTACAATTTTGTGTTACCCACAAAATGTGAGGTCAGAGCGGCAAGAGTGATAACAAGTGCTGGTGCTAAAATTGCAGGTGGTGAATGTAAAAGAAAGGCTATAATACTGGAAGAGAAGTTAGATGTTTTAAAGTGTTTTGAGTGTAATGAGAGAACATGATCTTGCTTGTGCAACAGGAATGAAGGAGTCTATCCTACACACCATTAGAGACAATGCAGAAAAGATTAAAGCAAGCTGTATTGCTGGAACAATTCTGAGTGCTAGCTAATCTGTGAAGTCATGGACAAAGGAACTTGAGGAGATGGAGCGGCTTCTAAGTGTGTGGATAATGAAGAAGTGATCTGGGACCACCCTTCTCACCATAAAAGAGAAGCCTTATCAATTTATGAAGGCCTAACAAAACGAGCCAAAAATCCTGCAAACGTGTCTGCCTTTAGTGCTAGCAGTGGCTGGCTGCTGGTTTTAAGAACTACTATGAAAAGCATAATGTAAAGTTATGTGGCGAGGCTGCCAGCGCAGACGAGGTGCATGTGATGGTATTTCCTCCCAAAGTAAAAAAAAAAATTGACCAAAGAAGGCTACAACTTGGATCAAATTTTCAATTTGGATGAGACTGGATGCAAATGCCATCAAGAACCTACATTTCTATGAAAGAAGCACACACTCCAGGCTTTAAAGTGGCAAAGGATCGTATGACTGTGCTGCTGGATGCCAATGCCAGTGGAGACTTAAAGCTTAAGCCTGTGGTGGTGTACTACTCTGTCAACCCATGAGCCTTGAAAGGTTACCTTAAGTCTACTCTAGGTATCTACTTTACGGCAAGCAAAAGAGGTTGGATAACTGGGCAAATTTTTCCTGACCTTATTGTTGATGTGTTCAAAGATGTTTTTATAAAGTACTGCAGGGACAAAAAGGGGATGTCAAGATTTTCCTCATCCTGGATAATGCACCAAGCCATCCTCAGACCATTGGTGAGCTTTCTAAAACATCGAAGTGCTATTTCTACCCCCAAATACAACCTCTCTCCTTCAAACCATGGACCAAAGATCAATAGCAACTTTTAAAGCTTATTATTTAAAGCACACATTTAACAGGCTGACTGTAGCCACTGAGGGGGATAAGGACAGTGTTCTTCAATTTTGGAAGAGCTTTAATAGTAAGAATGCAATTGACACTATTGTGGAGGCCTGGGTGATGTCAGGAAGGACTGCTTGCATGCAGTTTGGTGGAAGCTTCTCCTAGATTTTTTTCAAGATTTAAAAACCTTTGATCTGTTAGAGGAGCTCCCAAGGATCAAAGAACATTGCATTGCTCTTGCAAAGCAAGCTGGATTTGAAGAAGTGAGAGTGAGGATGTTGAAGAGCTGCTTGAGTCCCACTGTGAAGACCGCTCTACAGCTGATCTACAACAACTTGTTGCTGAGGGGGATGCAAGCTGGAGATGTCCAGGATGCAGCACCACAACAGCTTTCACACTCGCAGCAATGAGCCGGCATCTCCTGGCACTACAATCAAGCCTACCCCAGCTCAGAGCCTCCCTCTCTCAGACCTGCAAAGGACCTCTCCTGTTTTTTATTCTTCGTAGGATCCACAACCTGAACTCACAATTCTACTCAGCTTTACTGGACACTAAAAACCATAAGTACAGTAAACTTACTGGTGCCTACCACCCAAAATGGGCTTCCTCCACCTCCCAAATCCCCAACCCTACCCAGGACCTTCCCCACAATGTGCCCGCCGCCATTGGCCATGTGGCCACTGTCGGAGCACCCTCGGATGACGTCACATCCTCCGCCGCTGGGTACACCACTTCCGGGACAGCGAGCGCCATCGACACCGCTGCTGATGCCACCAACTCCATTTCCGAGGCCAACACCATAGACACTGAAGATGCACCTACCGTCACCGCTGCTGCCGCCGCCTACCCCGCTCCGCCCACCGCTGACGCCGCTCTGCCCACCGCCAATGCCGACGCAACTTCGCCCACTGCCGCCGACGCAACTCCGCCCACCGCGTCCACAGCCAGCAGCTCCAGAGGAGACTACAGCACCCAGCCCTGCTGGGTCTTCACCATCCCCCCAGACCTCCCCCTTACTGAGGACGAACGGTCAGTCAAGGGCTTACCTTTGTTCCCCTCCATCAACGAATACCGGTCACGTTTGGACATTGAGCAGTTTTTCCGCTGCCTCCGTGCTTACTTTTTCAACCGTGAGCCTAACCCTCCCTCTACTGACCCCTTCTCCCGCCTCCAACACACCCCCTCCTCCTGGACACCACCCCAAGGCCTCCTACCCTCCTTCAACCTCTTCATCTCCAACTGCCGTCGAAACATCAATCGCCTCAACCTCTCCACCCCTCTCACCCACTCCAACCTCTCCCCTGCAGAACGTGCAGCCCTCCGCTCCAATCCCAACCTCACCATAAAACCTGTGGACAAGGGAGGGGCAGTTGTAGTATGGTGCACTGACCTCTACATCGCCGAGGCCAGGTGCCAACTCTCCGACACCTCCTCCTACCACCTCCTTGATCATGACCCCACCCCCGACCACCAAACCATCATCTCCCAAACCATCCACAACCTCATCACCTCAGGTGATCTCCCACCCACAGCCTCCAACCTCATCGTTCCCCAACCCTGCACCGCCCACTTCTACCTCCTTCCCAAAATCCATAAACCTGACTGCCCTGGTCTGCCCACTGTCTCCGCCTGCTCCTGCCCCACCGAACTTATCTTCACCTATCTCGACTCCTTTTTTTCTCCCCCTTGGTCCAGGAACTCCCTACCTACATCCATGACACCACCCACACCCTCCACCTCCTCCAGAACTTCCAATTCCCCGGTCCCCAACACCTCATCTTTACCATGGACTTCCAGTCCCTATACACTTGCATTCCCCATACAGATGGCCTAAAGGCCCTCCGCTTCTTTGTGTCCCGCAGGCCCGACCAGTCCCCCTCCACTGACACCCTCATCCGCTTAGCCGAACTCGTCCTCACCCTCAACAACTTCTCTTTCAATTCCTCCCACTTCCTACAGACAAAGTGGGTGGCCATGGGTGCCCGCATGGGCCCAAGCTACACCTGCCTCTTTGTAGGTTACGTGGAACAATCCCTCTTCCGTGCCTACACTGGCCCTAAACCCCACCTCTTCCTCCGTTATATTGATGACTGTATCGGCGCCGCCTCGTGCTCTCACGAGGAGCTCGAACAGTTCATCCACTTCACCAACACCTTCCACCCCAACCTTAAGTTCACCTGGACCATTTCTAATACCTCTCTCTCCTTCCTGTACCTCTCTGTCTCCATCTCTGGCAACCACCTAGAAACCGATATCCATTTCAAGCCCATCGACTCCCACAGCTACCTAGAATACACCTCCTCCCCCCCACGTCATGCAAAAATGCCATCCCCTATTCGCAATTCCTTCGCCTCCGCCGCATCTGCTCCCAGGATGAGGCATTCCACTCCCGTACATCTCAGATGTCCTCGTTTTTCAAGGACCGCAACATCCCCCCCTCAGTGGTCGAGAACGCCCTCGACCGTGTCTGCCGCATTTCTCGCAACTCATCCCTCACACCCCCTCCCCGCAATAACAACCAAAACAGAATCACCCTCGTCCTCACGTACCACCCCACCAACCTCCGGATCCAACGCATCATCCTCTGACACTTCTGCCATCTGCAATCCGACCCCAACACCAAAGACATTTTTCCCTCTCCACCCTTATCTGCTTTCCGGACGGACCACTCTCTCCGTGACTCCCCTGTCTGCTCTACACTCCCCTGCAGCCTCACCGCACTCGGCACTTTTCCCTGCAACCGCAGGAAGTGCTACACCTGCCCCGACACCTCCCCCCTCACCTCCATTCCAGGCCCCAAGAAGACTTTCCACATCAAGCAGATGTTCACCTGCACATCTGCCAATGGGGTATACTGCATCCGCTTATCCCGTTGTGGTCTCCTCTACATCGGGGAAACCAAGCGGAGGCTTGGGGACCGCTTTGCAGAACACCTACGCTCGGTTCGCACTGAACAACTGCACCTCCCAGTCGCGAACCATTTCAACTCCCCCTCCCATTCTGACATGTCCATCCTGGGCCTCTGCAGTGCCACAACAATGCTACCCGAAGGTTGCAGGAACAGCAACTCATATTCCGCTTGGGAACCCTGCAGCCCAATGGTATCAATGTGAACTTCACAAGCTTCAAAATCTCTCCTCCCCTGACCGCATCCCAAAACCAGCCCAGCTTGTCCCCGCCTCCCTAACCTGTCCTTCCTCCCACCTCAAGCCCCACCCCCATCTCCTACCTACTAACCTCATCCCGCCCCCTTGACCTGTCCGTCCTCCCTGGACTGACCTATCTCCTCCTTACCTCCCCACCTACACTCACCTTTACTGGCTCCATCCCCGCCTCTTTGACCTGTCTGTCTCCTCTCCATC